CTGACATAAATGAACATTTGCACAATATTCTAATTTTTCGAGTTTCACCTGTACATCTTTGCCTTCTTCACTGAAATTCTTAAGAGAAAAAAAGAACAGAGCTCTGTCTTATAAATGTACCTACTTATGCAGTATTTGTGACAATATCCAGAGGCTTATGAAAATAAATGACTTAAAATATCTGTATGGCTTGAAATAGTTACTGTCTCAAGCAGGCCAAGCAATTGAAGTGATATGATTAGGATATCAAATAATATCTATTAAAATGTATATACAGTAATATTAATAGGACAATTGTTATGACAAATTTTTTTTTATAAAAAGTAACCCCATGGTACTGGACTGTAAGTAAAGGGAAACAACAATTATACTTTGACAATTTACTGTATCTCTAAACTATCTTCAAAAATACACTTCTTTCTTTGTATCACACACACACAGCGTACTCAAAGAGAACAGTTTTTCTTCAGTTTGAAAAGATGTTACAAAACAAAGCAGTTAAGATAATTGAAACAATGGCAATGACATACAGTAAAATATTGCTGATACTTGAAATTATCTTTAGTAGTAATTAAATAATGGTTTTCAAAGCTGTTTAGGACCAAAACAAAGAAACAAAACACACATACATTTCAAATATAAGATTTTTAAAAAGTGTAGCACGAAAGGGCTAACAGTAAAAGAATTACTTCGTGAAATGAGGTATGGTAGTGTTTTGAGTGCTACACAGCAATGTTCTGCCTATGCAGATTAATTTAACATAGCAGCTCACAGACTGTTTGCCACTATCTTTATTCACATGACCTGTTAGTAAAATTATTATTCATTGGCCACAGATAATATGCATTCAAATATGCCAAAAAAGAAAACAAAAAACCCTGTATGCTCAGATATGAATGCGCTTATTAAGTAAAAATGCATACAACTTAATATTCATAATAAATATATTTTCAAGCCTTAAACATTATCAACATTTAAAAATAATTTAAATAATAAATGCAATTTTTTTTTACAGAACTGTACGATTTATTATACACACAAATACATCTTCCCTTTGTTTACAAAGGCTGGTTACAGATAATATGGAATGTTACAGTACCATCTTGCATAAAATTTTAGTACAGTTTGTACTTGAAAAAAAGGGTGTAAAACACCTGCCTAATAAATTCAATAAATCAAAGTTTTTTTCCTTAATTACATCATTAAGTCATCCACAACAAGCTATACATAAGTCCACTTTTCAATCACCACTTCAAGATACTGTAGCAAGTACTGTACTTTAAAATGGATTCTTCTCAGTCAAAGGCTTGCACTTCTTACCCCCCACTCCTCAGATTCAGATGCGAGCTTGATATGAATCACAGAGTTCTGGTTAGTACAGTTTAGAGGCAGTCAGTGCAGCTTACCAAGTACAAGTCATGAGATTTATTAGGGATGTGTCAAGTCATAATAAACATTTTTGTAATAGATGCATTTTTCTTTAAAAAGTGTTAAAATTTGGTCATGACTCTCCATTCTGTACCTTGGATACTGGTGGATGCATGAAGTCCTTAAAGGGCACTAATGCCTCTTTGAGAGCAGAGCAGACTTCTGAAGATGAGCAGGTGATACACTCTACTAACGTTGGGTACAGAGCAATAACCTGTGCCCATGTGTTATCATCAACTGTAACAATAAGTAAATTTATGACATTTTTAGAACTCTTTTCATTACCACAAAAATAAAAGTATAAATATTGTTTAAATTTGGGGAAAGGTTAGTTTGGAGGTCTTCTTAGTCCTTTATATTTCTTGCAATTCTTAACTGTAAGATTGGTCAAGATAATGAAACAAGAATTGCTAGAGATTACGGTTGATGGAAGGCCTATCTTGATGAAAGGCCTATCAACTATCAGCTCTTGTTCTTCCAGTGAACATACTCCTGGTTCCCCTAGATATCTGATGGGAACTAGTGAACATTTGGGCATTTGCATCTTGGCTCTATATATATGTGTGAATGCATCTTATATGGCAGAACTCCCTGAGATTAAATTCTACAGAAACCTGTTTTTGAAATGCCACTCATGGCAATGGCTCTGGCAACTAAAGGAAATCAAAGGCGTCATTCTGTCCTTTGATTTTCTCTTTCTCTATTAGGAACCTAAATTAAAGTTTATATTTTCAAGGAATAAGAAAATTCAGAATGTGGAACTATCACAATAGTCTTTTTCAACTCTGAGATAGGATGGATGGACAAACAAGCTATGAAAGGCAGTGAGGAAGGCATGGGGATTCCTTCCTTAGCATGAGATTGCTTGCCCAGAAACAAACATCTCCAAAAAATGCTGAACAGCCTGCTGTTCCTAGCACTCTGTCTGCTAGGGTTTCAGCAGCCATGTGCTTGCCTACTGACCCACATGCCCATCAGTAACAGTTTTGAGTTCCCATTCTCCCTTGATCATAGTTCAACTGTGCAAGACCAGCCTCCAGTGAACTGCCTTAAGACCTGCTGTTCACCAAAGAACATTCATCAGTGAATGGTCATTAATGTTTTTGTTATATGGAAAATAAATAGAATATTTACAGTTTAAGAACAGATGAAACAATCTATTTCTAGTATTTCAGGTAAAAGCATGGTGTCATTTGAAAAAAAAAAGCTTTTAAAAGATTTGGCATCAGTTAATGCTATCAGAAAAACAAGATTGTGCAGAATTGGAGGTTAAGGGTAAAATAAATTGAGAGACAATTTCAAAAAGTACATTATCTTTATGGAAAAATGATTCAAAGGGTACTAAGACTGAAATGTAAAGCATTTTGTGTTTAATTTATTTCAGGACACCTAAAACTGACATTTATAACTTTCATGCATGTTCAATAACAGAAGCAGCTCAAAAGCACTTTAAGTAGTATATCTGCATTTAAGTCCCACAAAGTTTATTCATGTGCCAATTCTGGAATGAGTATGATTATTATCGGTCACTAAATGTTTTTTTAATTTAAAAAAAAAATAACATAAGAGGGTATATTTTAAAATTTCATCTTAGAAATATTTAAAATAATATCCTAGTCTCTCCTGAATTACTTAGAATAAATAGTTTAATCTTCCAAAAGCTCACAGTAGATATATACTGCAACAGGATTGCTCACCTGAATAAATATAAATTCTAAAGCATTTACTTCTTAATAACTGCAATTTATGACTAATCATGAAACTTTACTGTCAGACCTACACTATCAAAGCCAAATTTAACAGTCTTTATTTTTATGTTACAAGATTATAATTAATAAAAGGTAACGCTCAATAATAGGTCATATCCCATAAGAACATATTACTTACCATTTTCTGGCTGAGTTTTTTTAAGAGAGTCTATGAGAGTACTGACAGCTTTTAAAACAAATATTATTTCTGTAACTTGTTGCCTAGAAAAGGAATAAAAAATAAGATGTGAACTTAAAATTCTAGAAAGTTATAATTAATATCTGATTACTTTGATTTTGTAAATGACATTTTTGTCATTTCTTGACATCGCTAACTGCACTTCAATTAAAACAAAAACTTATATTTTATTTATACTTTTCACAATGTATTATTTGATTTATTTTCAGAATATTGGTCATTTCAGAGAATCCAATTAAAGAATCTTCAATAAAACAGTGGAAAATAAGACTAGCCAAGTATGGTTGTGTTTTCATTGTGTGTAATAACAACTACTTGAGCAAGTGTCTGTCCACTGGATATAGTCAAAACAAGCTTGCTGAGAAATAATGGTGAGACATAAGTATGCTGGGGAGAAGGGAGAACCCAAGCTTTGCAGAACTACTAAAGTTATTTGGGGGAAAAAACCTAAAGGGCAACCTTCCTTCCTTGCCTACACAAACAGTGCAAGGCATTCTTAGCATGCTCAGCCATGTGTCTTGAGGGACAAATATAGAAACCTGGGGTGGGGTGGGATAAGGAAGAGTGAGATTTTGCAGGTTCCATTTGTTTCTAGAAATTTTGTACTCTGGCTATGTAAAGAAATATGCAGCAAGGGGTTGTTGTTGGGTTGTTTGTTTTTTTTTGCTTTACAGAGTTTTCAGGCTGCCCTATCTTAATAAAGAAATCCCTGTGATACTTCATTTTTAAACTACAGTATAGGCATTTCAAAAACAGTTTCTGTTAGAGCCTAGGAATCTACTGTCCAAGGTGAGGGGGGGATGCAAATGGATACTCTTTGGATAGCTGCCTACATTAATTTCAAAATGTATAATCTAAGCATTACTGTGTATGTGATTTCTTGTCAACACGTCTTGTAGGAACATTAGCATAATTCACAGATTTAAGCATCTCTCTCTTTTTCTAACTTCTAATTTTAGGTAAATCAAATTAAAACTTGTTTAGCTAAAAAAAAAAAACTTCAGCCAAATATTATACAGAACTATTTCCTAGGTGAATACTTATTGGAGTAATACTTTTTTAATGTAATGCTAGAGCAAGAAAAAAAGAGATTGTTCTAGCTTTATTGTTTACTGTTACTACAAAACACATCATTTTTTTTTGCCAGAAATTCTAAATCTTTTTATATTAAAATAGAACTTATTAATTCTTAGTACAGTGGTACCTCTAGTTACGAACGCCCCTACTTATGAATTTTTCGAGATACGACCAGCTCCGGCCCCAAAAATTTACCTCAACTTGTGAACTCGCCTCAACTTACAAACCGGATCCACGGCCATTTTCTGCCCATTCCATGTGGTCCGCGGCTATTTTCCGCCCATTCCACGTGGTTCGCGGCATTTTTACGCCCGTTTCATGTGGTCCGCGGCCATTTTTCCGCCCGTTCCACGTGGTCCGCGGCCGTTTTTCCGCCTCTGACGCGTGGTCCGCAGACACCGGAACGGATTAATGGTAATTACATTGAACCTTATGGGAAAATTTTCCTTGTGCTGCAACCAATTCGAGTTGCAAACAGAGTCACAGAACGGATTAAATTCGTAACTCGAGGTTCCACTGTATTGTAAACTAGAAAATTATAATGGCTGAACTAATCAATAGAACAAGGTAATCTAACCCAACATTAACTTTATGTTTGGGATATTATATATGATAATTAAAATATATAATAGCAAATGCTATAACTGTCCAACTCACAGTCACAGCCATCTTTTATCTACAGGGCTTTTATATAAATCGAAGTGCTGGTAGGCATTGTTTGGAATCCCAGGAACAACAAAGGCTTACAGAGCTCAATAGTGCAACTAAGGCAGAACTTCAAGTTCAGGGCTCGACAGAAAGAGCTGGAACAATCTGCTGTTTGCTATAACATTCTTCCCTTCTTTTCTTTTAGAACATTTATAGCCAGAGGGGAGCTGGGAAGGTATGTGCAAGATTACAGATGTTCTTTTTTTTATTATGTTTATTTTAAAAATATGAAATTCTTTGTGTGCTTCCTATTGTCAAGTACATTTATTTACCAGTGGTAGCAAAGTCTATTTTATTGTTATAATCATGATGGTATATACTGAAAATATTTCTTTCTTTAAAACCAGCGTTGGCAAATCATTTCATTATTGGGTAATACAAGTTTGTCCAAAAGGACCCTAGATGACCATTAAGTCTAGGGTCTAAAATTAAATAGCTGATCACAAATGAGTGGCAGTAAATAAATGGCTTTAGTAAGAAAAGGAATGCAAAGCTACTGAACATACCGTGGAAGTGGACATTTGCCACTTAGTCTTTCATCTTCTATGTAACGATAAAGCACATCTTGAGATCGTTTTAATAGAACAGAAAGTGCCATTCGTGAAATGTAGCCTTCTTGAGGAGTTGTTACTTTGTTACTGAATGAAAACTGAAGCAGTGTTTCAAAACACATCTTGGAAAATTCCTCTCTCATACGAATATCTATTTCTGCCTCTGTCAAAATCAAAAACCATCCTTGTCTTAAGAATTTATTTTAAAAGTAATTAGTGGAATGAATAGTAGGGCAGTTAAAGAAAGACAAAATATCCATACTGAAAATAAATCAGAGCAAAGTATATCAGGGATAGTATACAAAAATATATACTGAAAGGATTAATGTAAATCTAATTAGGCAACTTTGATCACATCTACATTTTTAATAGCTTAAATTGTTCAACTATTCTAGAGAGTCATCTTTTCAACAGGTAGCATTCCAAAGAAACTTAGCTGGGTATCAAGTTCTTTTGAAATCAGTAGATTAAATGAGATGTAACTAATTCCTGTGATAATGGTGAGACTTAAATGTGACTTTATCCTATCAGTTTCCTTCCTATCTTCTTTCAGGAAATAAAGATAATTCAACACAGAAGTACATATTTAATCAAACCTATATCACTATACAGGTAGTCCTCAACTTATGACAATAATAGGAACCGGAACATTTGTTGTTAAGTAGTGCAGTTGTTAAGTGAGGAATCAGATGATCACACCTGATTTTATTCCATTTTTTGTGGTGGTCATTAAGTGAATCGTCATGGCTGTTAAGTGAATCATGTGGTCATTAAGCAAATCATACGGTTGTTAAGTGAATCATGCGGTTCCCCATTGATTTTGCTTGTTGGAAACTGGCTGGGAAGGTCACAAATAAATTTCACATGACCCTGGATGCTGCAACTGTCGTAAATACATGCTGGTTGCCAAGCATCTGAATTTTGATCATGCGACCGCAGGGACACTGAGATGGTCGTAAGTACTAGGACCAGTCATAAGTCACTTTTCCAGCACTGTCATAACTTTGAGTGATCGCTAAACAAATGGTGGTAAGTTGAGGACTACCTGTATGTTTGTTGAGTAAAAAGTACACAGAGTATTTAGTAACTGTACTGTCAGACTTGTTACTCTATGGATAAAGGGCCTGCTCAATTCTCCATTTCTTAAGTTTAATCTACAAGTAGAAATATATATTTCTAAAATTTAATTTTTAAGAAAAGCAACTAAAACTCTTGGGATTGAGAATGGATTTTTTAAAACATGGCTGCTACATGAGCATAGGAAAAGGCACATTTTTAAGGAGCTATGTGAGTACATGTTAGCCACCTTCTTAATGCCTCCTTAACTCAAACACATACCTTTCTGAGCCCAAATAACTACAATTAGAAAGAGGATGTCCATGTTGTTGCAATCACAGGTCATAATATACTAAGATATGAGCAACTTAAAATATAATAATACAAACATTAAAACAAAGAAAAGAAAACTTCTAAGAATAGCTAAAATTATGTCTTTAAAATAACGAAATTAAGCCTAGAGCTACAACTCAGCCCATGCCAAATTCAAAGCACACCCTCACCTGCTTCATATCTGAATGCTGCACACTACTATTGCACATACTAAATAACTTCCATTCAATTTTTGCTGTGCCTGTATATATTTTTTTATATTCTGCTATCTTTTGATTGACATACCTGTAAATGAAGAGGACTGAGAATGTATTGAACCTTTATTAAGCATAGTCATAATCTGACCAACAAATTCCTTGGGAATAAAATTAGCGTATGGCAGTATCTCTGTACTGATGAGCTGTACCACCTATAACAAATGAAAGACAGAGTTTTGAAATATTAATTTAGCAAATGCTCATAACAAGATTAAAGCACAAACTGTAAAATTAAATGAAATTACTGAATGATTGATGTCAACAAATTGGAGTATGCTGGGCACTTTTTTTAGTATGTAGGTACAAGTCTTATGCAAATAGGCTAACAGGATTAATATAGCGAAATCTATACTGTTACACAAATTTAGCAATTATTATAATATATATTTTGCACCAATATAAAATATTTTGTTATGCAAAAATGAGGCTTATGTTTTTGGATGCTAAGAAACATATACTCACTTCAACATCAATACTTTCATTTCTCTGAAATTCTTGAATAGAAAGATTATCTGGAGGTGAACTGAAAAACAATTAAAAATAGCCTTAATTAAGGGATTGGAAAACCATTTTGAGAAACTACTGAAGATGCAGTACCTTCACCATAGTAAATATTTCTATGTGAAGATGATTTTAATTAGGCTTCATAGTATATCAAAAATTTACAGTCCATAACTAATTCATTATATTCTTGTTTTATAAATGGAGAACTGAGACTGAGACTCATTTGTGAGTCAGTGGTGAAGCTCCTTCAATGATCAGCTCCTACCCTGAGAAATACAGTAAGTAGATGAGAAAAAAGCCATGATAAACAATCTAAATTAAGTAATCACATTCTTTTCATACTTCTGAATGCTGAATTAACAATTAGGGATGTGCATGAAACAGAAAAATGTGTTTTGATTCAAACCTGATACAAACACATGGCATTCTGGAAGTTCAACCAAACCTTTATGGATAGGCTCCAATTTAGTAGGAACAAAATCTGAAGTATCTTTATCGTTCTGGGTTCTGATGAAAATAAATTTGCAGGTATCCAAGAGTGATTCTTATGGGTTGAATAATGTAAAGTTGTTATAAGTCATCTCTTCTCAGCAGCTCCAAAGCGCTGCCTATCACATAGACTTGTCTGCCCTTTGATCTTCTCAGCTACTATTGCCAATGTCCCAGCATGGCATATTTCACTGGCTGGGCCAGCCATCTTTTCAGTACCTTCTTTTTCTACCCGCTCCTACTTCCCAGTACAACATATTTCACCAGCCCACCTAATTGGAAGAGGGCATCCTACATCATATCCTGGAAGCCTTCTATCTCTGCAAAAGCTCCATAAACCCTGACCTCTCTGAATCATGTTTCCATGAATTGGTCCTGGTCCTTGGGTATTCCACAGACATGGCCCAGGAACTTATACATGGAGTTGATATAAATAATTTCTCTTCCACTACTTGTAACATGAAGGAAATATGTTTTTAAAAATATATCAGTTTCCCAAAGCAAAAAGAAAAGAAAAGAAAACAAAGAAACAGGGCTTCCATATCAAGATTCTGGATATTTCATACTGGCTCTTGTATCAAAACTCTGCAGTAGCAAGATAGAACCACTATGTAAATTACTGTATAAAGGGAGACAGAAGGGCCACAGTTCCTCTCAAATATTATTTTATGATTCTTAATTTCAGTGCACAAGCATTATGGTGCTCTTTTAACTAATTTTGTGTGAAGGAAACATTGGTAGCATGGTACTGGAATCAGACTGTGAATAAAATTTTTGTCTGTCTTCTCAATACAGTATCAAGTTGAAAGGTTCTCAAAAATCTTTGAAAAACTATGTGTGCGCACATATAGGTAGGTAGTTCACCTTGATTTTGTACAACATGTAGAATTATAAATCATAGTGAATAATTTCAGTTATATAATACTTGCAAGCTAAAATTGTTAAAATAATATCTTACAACTTTCACAAATTCGGCAAGTTGAAATGCACTATGAGATTCCCACTGTGAAATTAATTTACAATTCACAAAACTATTTTATGCATATTTACTCTAGAGTAAATCATATTAAACTGAATAATAAATGTATTTGCAGTGATATTATTGGCTAATATTTTAAGAAGCGGGTTAAAACCTATGGCCAAAGATCACCACAGAATAATAATATAAAAAGTTTTTTTTTAAATCACATGATGAAAAGGGGAAAACATACAAAACCAATCAGGGTATAGTTAAAACTGCCGTGGTACTAATAACCAAAATAAAATAAAAAGTCAAAGCTATAAGAATATATAATTTGCAAAATAATCCTGAATAGAGATAAAATAGATGAAAAAAGATAAAACTAGAAGCATTACAAAATTAACCTATATAAAATATACTAGACAATATGTAAAACAAGAAAGTATCAGTTCATAAAAAATGAATTTAAAAATCCTGGGCAGAAATAAAAAGCATGTGTGAAAGAAGCAATTAACTATTCCCAAAAAATTATTACAAAGGAGCCTAGGAGGAAGGGGGGGGGGGAACTGTCTGAGGAAAAAAGAACACTTATTGGTAACATTTTAGAGGAACCAACATCCTCCTGATCTTACATGCCACCACACAAAATTTTGGTTCTTTATACATCAATGGTGGAATTCTTGTCAGATAATAGGAAAGATGCATAGAAATGTGTGGAACAATCTGGCAAATCCACTATTTGTGGTGTAACAGAGATACTTTGTCCGTGGTTATAGTATTATCAAGCAAGTAGCGGATGCTCAATTCTTTCTACCTCTCTATCCCCACAAAGGCACAACCGTTTTGGACAGGAGATTATTTTTGTATCTCCCTTTTAGCACTGTTGAAGGAAGGGCATCATACCTTGTCAGGATAAAGGCTCTCCTATGCTCTGAGTAGACCAATTCTGTGAGGTATGAGGCAATTTTTAGAAAGTACCTTATGCACTGGTCTGCTGGAGGTTTAGGAGCTCTGCCTAGATCAGTTTGGTGTTCCACATCTATAATATGTTTTTTATTGAGCAACATAGCCCCTTTTTAGTACTTTTTGTGGCAAAAGACTATATGTCTGTAATTTGCATATACGGGAAGTCATCTAGTAAGTCTTATAGCTTTCTGACAGCATCGAGGGGGGAAAGGCCCTCAGGTAGGAAGTCAAGTTTAACTACAGTACTGTGGTAAGAGGTTTATTAGAGATTGGCATAAATAATGGGTTAGAGTGATGACCCCTCTCTTACTTAGTGATTTTAATATAATGTAATAGGATGAAAAGACAGCTATGACTGATTAAAAACAAGCCAAAAACAATTGCTCCAAATATTGCTGTCATTATTTAATGCAAAGGTACATTTCAAATTATAAGATCAGTTTATAAATAATAAATGTATTCTATTTCAAATTACTTGAACTTCATTCTGCCTACATTCCCCCACAACTAAACAGTTACACTTTACCTTTTAGTGAACAAAAAGTTTTCAAAAGTGTTGGCTAACTCTGGCCACATACTGTCAAATTTTCCAGAGGAAGCATGCTGTCTTGCAACTGGTAACCCAATTGAGAGAACTTTTAGGAGTGAAGAAACTGCCAGTTTCCATGTGCTTTCTGAAGGACAAGCATACTTCAAACTAAGAGGCATCCTCAGTGTCTGCCAAAATAAATTATATTTACATCAGTTTCAGTAAGACAAACATTAAATCCCACTAACAGGCAAGAAGGAAAACAACCTGTAGCTTTAGCTTGAATTAAATGTATAGGATGGATATAAAGGATGAGAAGTCACAACATACAGCATTCATGGGAATGAGTGAAACCTGGGGAATTTTTTAAGGCATTTCATGTTGCTTCTGAAAACTACTGATAGGAAGCCAACTCAACTGAATGAACATGCCATTCAATACATATAGTTTCACTGATTTATACATGTGGACATTTCAAATACTATTTTTCAGGTATTCCCTAAATATGGTAGACAAACTGCTAGTTGTCCACTATGCAGCAGTGCACTGTGCAGCTGTGCACTGGGAAATACCTCCAAAGTTAGAAGGGGGGATCTGAATAACTAGCAACCACATACCAAGAAATAACAGTTATAGTGTCCATGACTTCTCTTTCATGTGGTTCTCTATGTTGACAGATTACAGATTCATTTTTAAACATAAAAATTACTAAGAGAAAGAATATACTTCACATTAAACTTGTCAGTTGTGTGCGTGAGTGGGCTTTTATGTCACCTCACCTCAGCTTTATAAAAGAGTAAAAAGACTTAAGACATCTTAACAATTTGGTCAGTCCATTTCTATATAGTATGTATCACAGATAAAAGAAATACTCAAATGAATGAATTCTGAATTGCAACACTCATTATTCTTTATATGCCACCTGACTGAAGATTTTATTTCGTTCCCCATGAAAGGTAATTAAACTAATAATTTCAAAACAAGACATGTTGTTTTTGATTACTATATCTTCAAATCCTCTGTATGACAATACTTGCCATCAGTAAGGGGTTATGAACAAATAACTAAATGTGATCCACACTGATAGTTGCCAAAATAATAATAATAAAAAAGATATGGGCAGTAATTTTTACAATAATCTTGTAACTGCAAAAATAAACAAAGTCACTCTTAGGGTTTCATACAAGTTTCACAACCTAACCTCAGACTCGGAAACAGCAATGCAGCTCATTTTAAAGAGTAATCTTAAAATCTATATAAATATTTACCTTGATAATATTCTGAAGGACTCTTTCATTTACCACAGCTTTGTGACAAGCTGTCTTTTGGTACAGATCTACCACAACTTCTAAAGACCTTTCTGCAAATGGTACATAATTCAGTGCTACCCATTCTGCCTAAAATAAATAAATAAAAAAATAGTACTAGGATGTCAATATGTTCAAAGAAACAAACTTTATAAAAGAAAATAAATAGGCCTAGTTTGGTTGCATGCACATTTTTTGAAGATTCCAAAAAGAAAAATATCTGATCCATGAAAAAAGTTTTAGAAGACATTCCCAGTCCCACACATATTATAGAACTTTGAACTGGCAATCACATTTTGAATCAAAGACAGTTTTAAGCACGTGCAATATTGCAGTTTATGAAGCAAGAACACTAAGCATGATCTTTAAAGAATTTTAACTCACCGGTGCAAACAGTTGTATCTATAGTGATTCCATTGTGTGGCATAATAAACAGAATAAGGAAAAATTAATATATTTATATACATATTACCTATCAACATTCCGATGTCTCATTCTCCTCGTTGAGTATTATTAGTAGTGCAAATGCATTCAGAGCACTAGCATTAAGTTTCAGTTTCATAAAATAAATTATTGAAAAGAAAACAAAATATATGATTTCATATGCAAAAGGGAATGCAAAGTTAGTTAAACGAAATTTGTTAAGATATAAATTATTTTGTTTATTTTCTAATTTTTATTATTAGAATTTAAATATCAGAGTAGGAAAGTGACAAGAAAAAAAAGAAGAGAAAAGAATTGAAATACAGGTATCTACATATTTATTGAATTAGCTGGTAATATAAATATTGCCCAAACTCAGTTCCATGATGATATTTATAAATTCATGCAAAGCTAAGCATATTTTCAATCTAAGCTCTTAACAGCAGAACCATTAAAATATCTCACCTGATTGTATTTTGCATTGGCAATGTGTTTTGTTTCTAGCTGTCCATATTGCGGTGGTTTACAGGAAAATTCAACAAAAGCTAACAACTGATCAAAGATAGCAGGATACATTACTTGCATGTTTTCTGAACCTACACATATGGCCTAAAAAAAAAAATTAAAAAATTTAATTTTCTAGAAAACATTTAAGGAAAGTGAAATGCTGTAGGCATTAGGATTCTCAAGCATGAGAAAGTTCCATGAACTCTACTACCACACCTACAAAATATGCTGCATTGATAAAGCAGTCTAGTCTGCTGAACTGTGACACAGTACTCAATGGGCAATTACTTAACCTCTAAACTTTATAATACATTAATTAATACATTAATTAGAATGGCAACATTTCAGAAATCACAGAAACTCTCAGATTAGCTAACATTGATTTACAATGCACTGAAGCAGTGCACTGAAGATGTTACCTAGCCAGGTAACAAAACGTTTGCAAGAAAACAACCAAGCTCAGAGAACTCCAAGGACTCCACAGTTCAACCCTGAGCTACACATATTCTCTTCTATTGGTAACATTGATTTACTTAGATACAACAGTACAGTGGAAAATGCAGATCAGATGCAATGATGGACACGGTATTTTTTTCCCTCAAATTGCAAGAAATTAAGAAGAAAAATCAGTTGATAATTCAGGGCAATTGTGTCCCTGAGTTACCTAGATTGTGGAAAGGATGCAACCAAAGTTCTATAGTAGTAGTGGTGGTGCATGATACCAAAATAATTACTAAAGCAGAAAACATTTGGAAGGAAAACTCTGATGACGATGACGTTAATTGAAAGTCAAAACCTGGTTTGAATTGTATGCCTGCTCACGTGATCTGACCCATTTTAGGCAATATTGCAATCTGACGTCAACTAAAAAGTTACTTTACAGTAAGAATATTCCCACTAACTTAATGGAATGCTTCAGACAGCTATCACTTCAACTTCTGCAACTACCCGAAGAGACAAATGGATGATTAAACAATTTTTTAAAAGAGAATTATTTCACTTAAATAGTAACTAAGTTAATATTAAATAACCTGTCTATACTGTATTGAGAGTTTGTCAGTACATTTATCTCCTAGTTGGTGGTATGCAAGAAAAGTGTGGTGGCTTGTGAGGTAATCTCTAATTCAAAGATCCTAGCTTGTCTATAGAAATACCTTGTACTAATATGTTTTGTTGAAATACAGTGATTCTATGGCCTTTTTTAATGTTAGATTAAAAATGATTTTACTATGTAAATCTTTAGATATTAGAGTAAGAGGTGAATGTATTTCACATTTATACCTGTACCACAGAAAGTTGGAAGTTACTTTTATTTTTATATGCTTTTTCTTTTCTGATGTTTCTTTTCTTTTTTCTTTTTTGTATTTTAATCTTTCTGAAATTTAATTATATATATATATAAAATAAATGAATGAATGAATGAATGAATGATCCTAGCTTGTGTAGCATAGTGTGAGTTACAGGGGAAAATTGAGCATTGATTATCTTCCTGCCAAAATACACCAAACTTGATCGGTACTCTTCTTATGATTAGCAGAGCAAGTAGCATGTGGCATGGACAACTAAGGCTTTGCCTTTTTTTATTTTACAAAAAAGCTTATGTGAAAACCTCAGATAACTGAAGCTATTATAAGTAACAAGAGGTCTACAGACCCATTTGAGAATGACTATGATAGATGAATAATTGTGACTTGAATGATAAGAAAAGTAAATGGTAAAGAGCATGAATTAATGAAATGAGAGAAAGAAAAATAGATATATTGTGTGTTTGTGCCATTAAGAGAAAAGGGAATTATGTAATATAGCCAAATGAATATGGTCTGATCTTGTGGGGTAGAATGGGTACATATATGGAAGTAAAGGTTTACAATTATGAATGAAAGGGCATAAAACACATGCCAGAAAGTAGGAATTAGTGTAATCTAAATTATTGTGGTGCATATGAAAGGAGGAATTCACTGGTTAGTGATAATTTCATGTTACACTAGTAAATGATGATGGAAAAACCAAGGCTTAGTTTTAGGGGAAATTATGCTTATTAAGTTAAGAGACATGTATGTACGGATGGGAATAAGACAAGAAAATACAGAGAAAAAAATTGGTCCATTCAGAAACCCAATAATGAATGAGAATGTTGATTGTTGAATATCTGCTTAGAAATAACATTTATTTTGGATGTTGCTATTATGTGCTATCTGTGCAGTCTATAAATTACTAGAGCAGTAGTTTCCCCAAAGCTGTAGGGAGAAGGAATGGTCTATGAGCCAATGGCCATTACATCTCTGTACACATTAACTTGAGGGCTTTTATGGGAAGATGTGGAGAATATTTAGGAGTTATACTTTGAGGCATGAGGTCTTGCTCCCTATTTATCTATGTTTGTCTTTACAACCAAAACTGAAACATTAGAACTTTGCTTTGAATATTTTATATCTTGAATCCAGAATCAAAACATTTATAAAGATTCTGCATTTGTATTCAGTGGGCTTAAGTGTTTTTTATTTGGACATTAACCTAAGGTAACTTCTCCTACCTTTGTACTCTGCTCTTCTTATGTACTCTGCTTATATTGTATATAACGTGCAGTTTTGATTCCTAAGTCAGATTCCTCTGTTTTAGCTTGGGTTGTTTTCCGTCAAGTAATTGAAATCAGCATAGATAAAAAGGTCATTTATTTAGATCATGTTTTCTGTTGAGACTTCTTCATATACTTCTTAAGTGATACTACATATCTTACTACTAAAGAATATAATTTTTCAATTAATTGGTGTATTTATTTATACTGTTTTCTTTTACAAATAGACCATTTCCTTGTATTCTGCAACCACTGTTCATGTTTTTTACTTGTAGAGAACATGTCTTAAAAGTATTCCTGTATTTTAAAAAGCAGAATCCATGATATTTTTGAAATTAACAATCAGAATCAAAATGTCTTAATGAGTTTTTTTTCCCACTGTGCTACCATTATCTGAGCTTTGCTGCAACCCCATGCTCAGAAAAAGGTAACAAACAAAAATAAAATCCCTAGACTAATATGTAGGCATAAAGTTGGATGGCTACTTGGCATCCAAGTGCAGTTACTTTTCATCAGTGAAAATAAAATGCCTACTTAAATAATTCAGATTTGGAATATGATTTAATTGATTCTTTTTTTTATACTAAAACAATATATCTGATAGATGCTTAAGTTCTACAATGAACAGATTAAATATAAATTAAATTCATATCTGTTTTTCATAGATATGTACTCATCATGCTATACCGTTTTGGGTTAAGCACTGTTATGTACAGTGCGAGAAAAACAATAAGGAATAGTAAGCTACAGAAATTAAAGAGATAAGGAAGAGAAACGTAGCTCAAATTAGTTTACACTAAGGCCATTTATTATACCTCTTCAAACCTTTCTATCCTTGCAAACCATCCTTATTTCAATCATGTTCATACACTGCCTTTTGTTCTTTATATTTTTCACCTTTCTCCTTTTGAGGATTTCAGCAATTCCAACTTACCCATGTTTGCCTTTTCTTTTAACCCATTCATTCGTTACCTATTTGTTTTGTGACTATGTTAATTATTTCTATATATCTAAATTACCTAAGTGTACTTATTTCATATTAGTCAGTTGTTTTTATATTTAGTCCACTTTAATTCCTCACCAATTTGTTGTTGACCCTGTCTCTTGTTTTACCACATATATTTCAACACATTCCCATTGCACTGAAGTTATTTTTGTTTCTCTTGACCTACTAAACTCTAGTATCTCTAATTCAGAGACTGCCTTGCAAGCCAACATACTGTTGTTTACAGGTCACTAATTAGGAGTACAGTATACCACATGCATACTGAGAGACACTCAGGATACTTAGAATTTGGAAGAACTCTGAATCTAAGGAGAAATTTATTAGAGATCAAACATTGCGATTAAGAACCTTACTGGGTTCTGAAGCAGGGATTAGTCAGCCTTACTCCCATTTGCTACTGTGTTATCCAAACTATGGATTCTCACTTCTTTTTCTGGTCGTTTTGAGACGACAGCACAAATATACGTTAGACAGAGCTATCCATAAATGTTATTTATGCCTGCACACAGGAGAAGTAGCTAGGAGAACTTCCTATAATATCACAGACAGACAGACACACACACACTATAATGCTATACTCATTTACATTATTGGGCAAATTATTCAGAGCTCCTTCCTTGAAAAAAATAACTTGTTTCAGGGCAAATGTAGCAGAGCCATGACTAAAATGCATTTTCTTAAAATGCAGAGATCAGAAGTCTTTGGATATGAATATTACCTTATCCAACAGACAAATTTTTATATATCAACATCACTGAGTTTAACAGAATACATCTTTCTTTAATACAGATACAAGCTAATGAGAACCCATTCTGAAAGTTACTGTCTGTTTTTATATATAAACATATGCCAGAAAACAAAAAACGGAGGAGTTATATAAACAATTGGTAACAGTAATTGGTAGTAATTTGTAAATACTATTTTTTTTAAAGGAACAATGAATATGAATCCCATTGAGAGCAGTATGATTTCAGTTAACCGTAGCAGGAGGTTTCATTAATTTCACTGAAATCTCATTGGTTTAGAATTACACTAATCAGGATCTATCAATTTAAGTTATATTTTACATGTACATTACATTTTAAATGCATGACACCATCTGCAGATCAATTTCAGACTTTGTATTTTTAAAAAAAGTTTTCCTGATTCAGAATATATATATATTCAGATCTCTCTCTCTCTCTCTCTCTGATATAATGTAATAATGTTAATCTACAGCCTAACTACAGTATCATATGTTGAGCTCTCTCTTTTGAACAAAGAATACTCAGCAGACACTTGAAACAGTCTTTCTTTCAAGATGTAGGAAAATTATCCTATATAATTAAAACTAATTATGCTTACTAATATTTCAGGCCATGGATGACAGCATAAAAGAAGTTGAGTGCTTTTCATAAAGTATTTAAAAACTGCATTACCTTTTGTAAGACATCTAAAGCCGTAAGAACTGCTTCTTGCAAACTTGTTAGAACTGCCTCAGTATATGATGGTAAAATGAAAGGAGATGCATCCGAACTGATTGGAACAGAGATTGCACCATGTAGAATGACACCTAGTTTTTGGAGATCATCCATACTGAAACCCGTTTTGATGTGTTGATAAAGGGCTGGAAATATCTGTATTAAAGCTGTAAGAAAAGGCTGACTGGGAATAAAAGTCATTTTATCAAAAGAAAGTGGAGGCTTTGTACTTTCTGAACCAATTCTAAACCAACTGTTCCATGCAGCCCACCAAAGATCCAAGTCTTCGATTTCATCTGTTATTAGAGGGGGTTCAGTTGCACTGTATTTTCCAATCCTTTCTCCTATAGAATCAGTTCTCATAAAAGATCTTCCAAGGCCAGTGGCAGTCACTGATCCTATAAGGACAGGCACAGGAACATTAATAGCAGGGGGTGTATCAGGTTTTTCAGTTTCTCTAACAGGAGACACAATTTGTAAGATTTCCTGAAAGCTTTTCAAAGCAGCCAAAGAAACCTCATTGTTTTTGCTGAGTGCAGCTGACTGAATGTGATCAAGAAGAACATCCCAAGCTTCAGAAAAATCTCCTATTGGGGAAAAAAAAGATCAGTAAGATATGCTTTGTTACTATGATATATATTAAAAAAATAGCTCACTAGTAAGAGAAATTAAAGGATTGCTATGTTATGCAGTATACAAGGTAAGATACATTATGCTACTGTCCAAGGATGTGTCAGATTTCACCAGCTTCTCTACCTCCCTAGGCACCATCCCAAATCTACTGCCCAACCCACTGTTAAACAATACTGTGCAAATTCAATTTAAGAGACCATTTTAGAACAAGTTCTCTGTTAAAGCAGAATGTCAATTAAAGCTGAATTTACATCAATTCACATCATTTGTATCATTACACAATTATGTGTGTGATATAAATATATAGGTAGTCCTTGCTTAATGACTTGTTCAGTGATGATGGTGCTGAACGAGTGGTACTTATGACTGGTCCTCATACTTAGGATCGTGATCCGGGCGCTTGGTACCCAACTTGCAATTATGACACTATAGCATCCCACGGTCACGTGATTGCCATTTGCTACCTTCACTACCAACTTCTGACAAGCAAAGTCAATGGGGAAGCTGGAAGGAGATCACAAATGGTGACCACGTGCTGTCATGCTTAGCTTAATGGTGCAGGATTTGCTTAACAGTGGCAACCGGAAGTGCCAGAACTGCTGTTGCTAAGTGGCACAGTCACATGACATTGTGCTTTATGACTGTGTCGCTTCCAGTCCCAATTACTGCTGTTAAGTGAGGACTACGTGTACACATGCTTTATGCCATTGCCATAGCTATATAATTACAAAAGTGATGAAACTTTAAAGGAATCATTTGAACTACTCCAGAAACAGTGGACTCTGGTATTTTGGGGTGCTGTCTTGATAGAAAATTTTTCTGTTGCATCTGAAAACCATTAAATTGAGATCCATTTAACAGTAAACTGATGGTTTAATTGTTTATATTTGCCATAAAAAGAGGAGAATACTTCTCAATTCAACAAGAATCAGCAAGAAAATCTTATGAGATATTGGAGTAAAAAAATTAACCATATGTATTTATAATTCTAATTGTTTAATACACAAACAATATGAACATTATTTAAAATTCTTGTTCATGCAATATATATCTACAGAATCAAATTTTGTATATAAAAACCTTGTCTTCTTTTTTAAATTAATTTTACAAAAATTAATTTAAAATTTTACAAAAAAAGAAAGAAAAACATAAAAGTGCTTTAACATAAAATGAATATAACAACAAAAAAGTAAATATATCATTATAATACTACACAATTACAATTCTATATATGGTTATCTAATACATATATTATTCAAGTACATTTATACTTCTAATAGAATTATATGACTATCCTGTTTTGTTTTTTAACCCAGTGTATTTTGTATAAAAACCCTATCTTTTTAAACATAAATAAGAATCCATTGTACCTAAGGACTGCAACAAGTATCGCCTTGTGTTGAATATTCTAGCTACTCCAGCCAATGTTAGTACCCATGTCTCAGCCCACTGTTTCTCTGCTGTATCTCGTGAATGGTGAATGAGAATGTTACCACCACCAGACTCAATCTTCTCTTTATCAGCAGTTGTAGAAGATTCTCGCACTCTCTCCAGCAAATGAAAGAGAACCTATAAAACATTTAAGAACTTTAAGCTAATATGTAACTATTAAATAAAAACATTGGCAAATTCTTTTCTGTGATGAAGAATCTGTAATCAGTATTTTATTTTACTTTACTTCAAGTCAGTGTTGACTTCTGGCAACTGCCTGGAGTAATCCCTGTAGTTTTCTTGGCAAGATTTGCAGAAGTGGCTTGCCATTGCTTGGTTCCTAGGGCTGAGAGAGGGTGACTAGCCCAAGGTCACCCAATTGGCTTTGTGCCTAAGGTGGGACTAGAACTCATGGTCTCCCGGTTTCTAGCCTAGTGCCTTAATCACTATACCAAACTGGCTCTCATTTTAATTTTATGACAATAAAATTTTAAATTGGGTTATTACCTTTCATATAGATTTAAGCATTACAACAGAGCTAAGCTGCTTTAAGGGCTTTGCTTCTGAAATGGAACAGAATTTTAAAACATTAATTACAATAAAAACATACATTATACGGTAATAAAGAATTAGAATCATATTATGCCGCTTTCTGACTTCAGAATTCTAAAAATATGTTCAATCAGAATATTTATTGCATTAATTAATATAAACTGGGGATTCAAAGACCAAAATTGATTTAGATATTAGAAGAGTGAAAGGAAAATAGGCTGTAGTGTTGTTCTTTCTGTGAGACTGTTAAATCAACATTAATTGATTTAATGTTAATCAACATTAGCATATATAACCAAAGCTGAATTTAAGGTACACAACAGAACCAAGTGGCTGTGGGTTTTGAGGCTTTCTAGATAGATAGAGAGACTTTCCATCTTTAGTTCTGAATGGAGTTGCATTTCCCCAAACAGAGTTGGTGTGCAAATTTGGGGTTTTCTTGGAGTCAGTGGCTTCTGTTCAAAGAACAGATGGGAGTTGTGGCTAGGAAGGCCTTTCTACAAGTTCCTCTTGTGTACCAATTGTTCCCATTTCTGGTGTGGGAGGCTTACTCACAGTAACTCATACTTTTGTCACCTCCCATCTTGATTACTGTAACATGCTCTACATGGGTCTACCCTTGAAGAGCATTTGGAAGCTGTAACTTGTCCAGAATGCAGCAGCATGGACAGTTTTCATGATAACCTAATATAACACTTCTGCTTCAGGAGCTGCTGGGGCTTCTAGTGAGCTTCCAGGTATAATTCAAAGCCCTGGTTATCATTTGTAAAGCCCTACATGGCACAGAGCCATGTTATCTGTCAGATCTCCCCAACAGAACTGAAAAGATGGGCAGAGCCAGAGCCCTTCTATTAAGCAATGTCATCTTGCGGGAACCAGGGATTGTGCCTTCCCTGTCACCATGCCTACCCTGTGGAACAGCACCCCCTCCCCACGATCTGGATGCTCCCAACCCTTTTGGTATACCGTAAGGCATAAAAGACCTGGTTGTTCCCTTAGGCATCTGGGCTGGGACATTAGGTGAACTCAGTTAGTTAATTTGGTCACTGTTTTTTTATTGATTGTAAAATGGAACAATTTTTAGACTTCTTGCACATGATCTATTTATTGTTTCTAGTTGTTATTTTTGTAATTAATTGTGTGGTGGTGGTGTTCTTGGTTCTAATATTCTATTTGCTGCCCAGGATCACTATTCTGAGTGTACTGACAAGGAAGGAAATAACTGATAAGGTGAACAGGTTATACACAAATTAGAAACAAGCTCTGTTTGTTCTATTGCTCTCATTGTCAAATTCCTAGAGAAAGAAGCAAACCAGTAATAAATAGGTATAGTCTAATACAAGGCTGTCCTTTTCTTAAACCAACCATTGTTTGTAATAAGGTAAGCAGGAAGATGACATAAGTAATCAGTTTGTTAAAAGTGCTTGTTTGCATGTAAATTTTGTCTTCTATTGAGAACACAGTGTGGCTAAAGATCAGGAAAATTTCAAAGCAATCTGGTTGTTTGGTTTAATTGCGTTAAATTAAGATTAAGGGGAAGTTTTTCATCTTTGAGGCCAATGGATTATACTGCTGTAGCACAAAGTATAAACCAAGTTTCTTTTCATGAACAGAAATACAGGTAGTTCTCGTTTAGCGACTGCCTTGGATAGTGACTGTTCGCAAATATAACAGTAATAAATGGTAATAAAAAATTCATTTCCAATCAATGCACACATTTACAACAACTAAAGCCTTTAGTGTGATTAAGGTCTGGTCAATTCCAGGCAGCAGGTGCAGCTGGCCAGAGGGTTCTAATTAACTAATTAAGGTCACAGAGCTGAGCTTGTTAACTTGGGGTTAGCACTTTTTAGGGCTGCACTGTGCTGTGGAGGAAAGCACCTCAGGAAGAGATAGCTTGTTTAAGCAATCTCTCCACACTGCAAGAGGGCAAAAAAAAAAGCAAAGCAAAGCAAAGCAAAGCAAAGCAAAGCAAAGCAAAGCAAAGGGAAAAAAAAAAGAAAATGGATCAGACACAGGACATCGTACGAGAGAACTTTATCTGAATGAGACGGCAGCAACTAGCGATCTTCGCAGTGTCTCTCTCGGTCACATGGTTAGCTTAGCAACTGTGCCACTTAGTGACCATTTTATTGGAACCTATTGCCGTCACTAAACAAGGACTACCTGTATTTATTTTTTATTTTATTTAT